TCTCTCTGGTCCACAGGCTGATGCTCTAACCACTGAGCAAAACTGGCCAGGGCAAAAACTCAGCATTCTTAAGCTGAGCAACTGACTTTTCAAATGGACCCTACATAGAGATTTGCTGAGCATTTCAAACTCTTTCTTGTCTCAAGAAAGATGGCACCAAACAACCATCAAAATGGAAAGGCAACCCATTGTATGGGAGAACATCACTGCCAATGATGTATCAGATAAGGGGTTAATTTCCAATATATATAGAGTACTCATACAACTTAACAAAAGGAAGACAAAGAACCCAATTAAAAAATGGGCAGAGGAGCTGAATAGACACCTCTCCAAACAGGACATACAAATGGCCAAAAGACATATGAAGAAATGCTCAACATCACTAATCATCAGAGAGATGCAAATTAAAACAACAATGAGGTATCACCTCACACCTGTCAGAATGGCCACCATCAACAAATCATCAAACAACAAATGTTGGCGAGGGTGTGGAGAAAAGGGGACTCTAGTACACTGCTGGTGGGAATGCAGACTGGTGCAGCCGCTATGGAAAACAATATGGTGTTACCTCAAAAAATTAAAAATTGAACTTCCATTTGACCCAGTGATCCCACTGCTGGGAATATACCCTAAGAAGCCTGAAACACCAATCAGGAAGAATATATGTACCCCCATGTTCATAGCAGCACTATTTACAATTGCTAAGATCTGGAAACAGCCCAAGTGTCCATCAGTAGACGAATGGATAAAAAAGCTGTGGTACATATATACAATGGAGTACTATGCAGCGGTAAAAAAGAAAGATCTCTTATCCTTTGAGACGACATGGAGGGACCTGGAAAGTATTATCCTAAGTGAAAGAAGCCAAGCAGAAAAAGACAAATACCACATGATCTCACTTATATACGGAATATAATGAACATAACAGTCTGAGGAATACAGTAGACCCAGAAACATGGAAGTAGGGCACAGACTGACATCCCTCAGAAGAGGGGGTGGGGGTGGGGGTGGGTGGGAAGAGATAAACCACTGAACTTATATGCATGTATGCATGACCAGTGGACATGGACAACTAAGCAGGGGACAGGGCGCAGGTGGGGTGGGGTGGGGGGTGCCAATGGGGTAAAAAAGGTAAAATATCTGTAACAAATAAATTAAAAAATTTATAAAAAAAGAAAAGAAAGATGGCACCACCTCTGCCCTCTTTAACTTGCCATTTACCCTTCAAGAGGGCGATGTGCCTATCTTGTGAAGCTGCATTTCTCGGAGAGATCAGTTAAGAGATCTCAGTTAGAGATCTCTATTTCAGTTAGAGATCATTTAAGAAAGAGAGATGCAAATAACATAGCCATAACAAGAATTGGTAAAATAAATGTCCTATTCTTCTTTTTTTTTAATCCTCACCTAAGGATATTTTTCCATTTATCTTCAGACAGAGAGGGAGGGAGGGAGGGAGGGAGGGAGGGAGAGAGAGATCTGTGTGAGAGAGACACATCAACTGGTTGCCTCCCACACAACCCCAACCAGAGCTGGGGACAAACTGCAACCGAGGTATGTGCCCTTGACCGGAATTGAACCCGTGACTCTGGTCCGTGGGCCAACGCTCTAACCGCTGAGCCAAACCGGCCAGGGCTAAATGTCCTATTCTAAAGAAACTGAATTCTCTATAGTTTTAATTTTTGATGTAACCATACTTGCAGGTCCAGGATAACATAAAACTACACCCCAGTAGCTGTGTGTTGGCACTTGATATCTAAGGAAATGCAGTCAATTATAAGACAAGGACTGAACAATTTTGTAGCACACATTTTTTCCCCTCTTAAATCTGTCAGATTTTCTGCTCTCTTCTAGACCTTGTTAGCAAAAATAATGCGACAGCAATATATTTAATCCAGTTCTTCTCAAGTGATAAAGAGAAGCTCTTGATTCTGACATTATCGAGTGATAAGAAGTATAACATTATAACAACTCAGTATGGGAGAATAATGTCATCAAGGATGATAAAAACTTCCCTTCACCAAGGGAGACAGGCTCCCCTAAACTATTTTTCTGACTAGGCCTCGTCCCTGAGCCTTGTCTGAGGCTGCCTAGCTGGGCCGCAGCAAACACTCTGCTGAGTCAATTGAGTGGGAACACCCCCCTCCCTCCTGATAGCTGATCAGACTCCTCGTCCCCCTGGCTCACTGGCTATAAATCCCCAGCTGTCTGTGCTGTATTTTCGATGGAACCCAATCTCCCCTCTTGCACTATTCTTGACACCTACCTCAAGTCCTAAACAGAATCTTCCTTACCGTTAAAAAAGTGGCAGAATACTTTTTCTTTTGCTTTTTCATGAAGAAGGGTATAGGACTTTCAGGAGAAATTAATCTGTCAATTTATTAACTTTTCAGGATCTGTCCAACTTTTATTCATCTTTAGGGTAAAGGATAATATAATTTCATCTGTTGATATAACTGAGGGTTTGGACAGAAAATGAGGACTTAGCAGTCGAGGAGAGGTAAGTAAACAAACAAAAAAGTGTGGATTGTTACGGGAAAGTTGGAAGAGAGAGGGAATAAAAATGAATACACGCACACACAATTTTTTATTCATGTTTCAGTGTATATTTAGAAAAGCATAGACCCATAGGGCCAACTGAGGATCAGAAACATAAACGCCTGAAAGTATAACAGAAGTGGGGAGGCCAGATGTGGGAAGAACCAACGGGGACTATGAAGAGTGTGGTGACAGGGTGGGGGACGGGCCACCCTTCTGATGGTGGCAGCCCCTCTTTGGCTCTAGCTGATACTTCCTGGCTGAGTTGTCAAAGAAACCAGGGATCCTTTTCTCTGAAGGAGAAAGAACTAAACGTAATTTTATTGTGTGGTCCCACAATTCAAACAACTATAGCAAAAAATCCTGCAAAGGATACCCCCACAAAGAAATGTGAGTAAAAATAAATATGCTTAGAGTCAGAGAACGTAATGAAGTGGAATTTCCCAAAGGTTTTGATGTTCCTCAAACTAAAGTACTCGAACTGATTTTCTTTATACCCAAGAGCCTCTTGAGCTCTTGCCCATGCCTTGCATCCTTCCCCCCATTCTTTTCTGGTTGTGAATCTAAAACACACACCATTTACACACAGATTTTGAAAAAATAATGTTTAAAAATGATTGCATGTGGATCATGATGAATATCAATACCCCAAGGATAGGAAAACTGTAACTTTACCAGAATTCAGCCCAACAAGTCTAGACAACAAGTAGCCCACACCAACAGCTAGTGAAGAAATGGTCTGTACCAACCACCTTTGTCTTTTAAGTATGAAGACTCACACAAGATGATAAACAGAAGAAAACAAAACAAAACACCAATAACCACTTTAGAAATACTTTTTTTTCTTTTCTGGGTTATCCAACATTTTCAAAATAGAAACACAATACAAAGCAACTACAATGTAAGCAGAGAGAAGTGAATATACCCAAACTTAGGCGTTGGAACTCGTCAGAAAAAAGAGCAGCAAGTTCTAAATAATTTGGGGAGAAAAGACCTATAGTATAAAGGAGTTTAAAGACAGATAAGGGTGTGATGAGACCCAAGTTGATCCTGGCATAATTGAAACTCTCAGGAAAGTGAGCATCTGTCTGGCTGAAATTAGACCAGAAGAATTAGATACTTGATTTCTATATACTATCAGTGTAATGAAGCCTATTTATGAACTGAGGTGGAGTAAGGGTTTGTTGACTTATTTGGGGTATGTGTCAATAAACAACAGTTTTGTTTTAATGATATCTTTGGGCCCATTTAAAAAAAACAGGTAAAATGTGGGGGAAAAATGAATGGCAATTTCTCTCTTGATTGACATCAATCATTTATTCTTGGTTTCTCAGCTTATTTCACTCTGTTTTCTGCTGGCAAAAAAATAGATATATTTGAAACTGAAATAACCAGTGATAGTGGGAAATATATGTGTAATTTTAAAAACACATTTTACTCATAAAATCAATCTGGTGATTCTGAAAGTCAAGAGACACATGGTATGTCATTTTCCCACATCACAGAAATTTGTGGAAAGTTTTGGAAGAGGCCATATGGTTCTTCCTCCATTTACAAGTAGAAACGTGGTGTAACTGTTTCCCAGACAAATTATTATTAACCTTGCCATTTTCCCTCCAATATAATGAAAATCTCAATATTCCCTCTCCCCAAATCCCTTTTATGGTCAAATCTGAAGCTGGATTGTTTACTTGCATGGTCTCTTGTTCTAATTAGGATTGAGAAATATCTTCCCACCAGAAAGCAGCTATAACTTACAATAGTTGTTTCTCTCTTCCATCACAATAGCCCAAATAATTAATTCTTAACTGTTTCCCTCAGAGCCCAGTCTTAGTAGTTATTTGTACTGCATAGTCATATCCTCCACCCGTCCATGAAGCGAGCAGTCCAAATGGGAAGTAGTATATTGTAGAATATGTGGACTATCTCCTAACACAGCTGCACTCTCTTACAGTAAACTCATATTTCGAATCCCATATTTCTCATTCTGATCTTTTGACATATAATCATTGTCAATGAGCCCAAGTGGATAACATTGGCTTTGATTTTATAATAATGCTCTGAAATAATTTATGTTCTAAGTGCCTGGGAAAGACATAATGCATGTATGCAATTTTCTATTTCTAATCCAATCATTGGAACATATTCCCCTTTAATTCATGTATAATGAATGTACATGGAAGAACATTTATAAAATGCTATACATATTAGAAATATAAAAGGTGAATACAGCATCTAACAAAAGTCAGAGAGCTGATTGAAACCAGAAGTAACCCACCAGTTATTTCAGAACTTCATCTAGAATTATGACAAAATGGCTAATGGCTCAATGCCATATCTTACAAAAACATACTTCTACTAGCATTTATTTATCATATCTTTCCTACAGGCCTATACCAAATATTACCTGCACTGAGCCTCAGCACATTCAGCTGTCCACGGTTTTTGGGTGTGCTTTTAATTCACATCAGACAGGCATTGTGCCAATGTCACAACAATGCTGAGGGAGGCAGACCTTACACACCAGCGTGAACACCCAATCATCACACTTATGAACTACAAAAGGACCTCCGCAGGTTTTGACAATGCCTCTTCGGCCCTATTGCTACAGGACCAGCAGATTACCAAATAATTATGATACAAGTAATTTACTACCTGATCTTATGTCCCCTCCATTTCTAAATTTCATTTCTTCTTTCTCTATTCTTCATAGTCTAGTTGTTCATCTTCAGTCCGTGGGGAGGAAATGATCTTTTAAGATCTTCAATATTTCTTTATCTCTCCCTTTATTTGGATACATTTTCAGTCTCAAATTTAGATACACACACACACACACACACACACACACCCCTTAATACCTATCTTTAATATTTAATATACACATACTTAATATTTCTGTGGTATTGCCCCATCTCTTTTACTTATCTCCTAACATATTTACAGAAAAAGTTTATACTCTCTGGTCCTAATTTTCCTAAAGACCTTAATAAGTCTGTCCACATCACGTGCATGAAACTGAACTTTTGAAGGTAGCCAATGTTATCTTAGTCTCTGAAGGCAATGAACTTTCTCAGTCACCTATTAGGAGCTGTGGATACTGCTCACCAACACTATTTCTAAGTCTTGCCGCCATCTCCTATCTTCCTTATCCTATGTTCCAAATGTAGAGATTCCCCAAGGGTTTGAAATCAACTCTATCTCCCTTTGTACTTTTGCTCAGAGCCTCCATGACCTTATGCACGTCTTTGGTTCTATCTCTTTTCTGTAAGTGACTCCCTCACTGTGGCCTTTCCCCTAGATGCTCACTTGACAGGCATGTCCCACAGAAAATTAGAACATCTGACCTTTCAGAATCTGCTTGGTCCAAACATAACACTATCTTCTTGAAATAAACACACCCCTCTACCCACCCTATTTAGGGTATACCTGTTTAGGGTATTTTTGTTCCAAGTTACCTACATTAGAAATTTTAGAACACTCATTGTTTCAACTAATTTTCCAACTCACATCCTATCAAATAATCTGCTTATTTCCCCTGTGTGATCTCTCCCATTCCATCGTGTTTCTGTACTTCAGGGTCTATTATACCTCCTGCCTGTCCCATTGCAATGACCTTTTAGTTGGTTTTCCCAAAGCTGCATTTCTCAACTCTGCTTTCTCAAGTGCATCATGTACAGGGGTTGGCAAAAGTAGGTTTACAGTTGTTGGTATGGAAAATAATACAATCACTAATTAATAATAATACAAGAATAAACTCTGTTAACTGTGTTTCGTGTATTCACAATTGTAAATCTACTTTTGGCCCACCCCTTATGTATTATATCATATAAATAGCCACCTTAAATGATCACTTTCATGCTGTCACCCTGTTTAATTCTGGAATACAAACTCCTTATTCTTAGTATGGTAGGCTATGCCTTTCACTCGGTTAGATCTTAGTGTTCAGTTCTGTCATCCCTTCCTCTTCCTCTCTGCCTCCCAGTGTTGCCAATACAAACCATATCTGCTTACTGTTTCTTGGGCATAGTTCACCCTTTCTGAGCTCAGAGTCCTTGTTCATGGATATGTCTCAGCCATCTGGAATTCTCTCTTTTTTCCTTCTCTTACTAAAATCTTCACCTCTGAAGATTTTGTCATTTCAAGATTCTCTAAGCTTCCCTATGAATATGACTCTATGCCTTCTAGGATCAATCCAGCGCAAAGCAGTTTCTCTTTCTTGTGCATTTTTCTGGAACCTAGTTTATAAGCTGCACAAAGCACTTTCTATGTAGTATTATTTACTGCCCTGCAGCGTGAGGATTTGGACCCATGTGTTTTCTCCTCTACTTTCTCCTATTAGATAGTACATTTCTCAAGGTCAGGGTTACCTTTTCATAACTAGGAAATCCTACAGCATTTAGTATAGTCTTTCACAAAGCTAGAACTTGATAAAAAGTTAGTTGAGCCCTGGCCAGTTTGGCTCAGTGGTTTGAGTGTTGGCCTGCAGACTAGAGAGTCCCAGGTTCAGTTCCCGCTAAGGGCATGTATCTTGGTTGCAGTTTGTCCCTGTCCCGGTTGGGGTGGTGTGGGTGGCAGCCACTCAATGTGTCTCTCTCACATTGATATCTTTCTCTCTCTCTCTTCTCCCCTCTCTCCCTCCCACTCTATATGAAGATAAATGCAAAAATGTTTTCAGGTGAGGATGAAAAAAAAATTAGTTGGATTAATTCGAACTAAAACAACTGCATGTAGAAAAATACAAGCTATATAAACCTTATCATTAGTAATTACTCCCTTCTAACTCTGGAGTTTACTAAAAGCTAGGTAAAAGTGGGTGACTTTGTACTATGCAAATTCACCACTCTTTATATTTAAAAATCCATAAGTTAATGTGGAATTTGGCTTAATTCCTACAGGAAGAACAAAGCCATTTCACGTAAATGTTCCCTCCAGGCCTCAAGAGTCAGCCTTTTTTTGATGTGCATAAGTGGGAGAGACAGAGGACAGTGCTGTTTTTAAAGTAACCTCCACAGAAAGATCAATTTCCTTTTAAAAAAAAAAGATCTAAAATTGGAAAAACTTAAAATGGCAATTTTGATAAAGACTTTTCCCACTATACAGATATATTTAAATATAATATAAGGTTTAATTTTAGAGCAACACTCCAAATAAATAGGACTAAAATTTTTAATAGTGCCATTTTTATAATAAATATATTTCTCTGTGCACTTCTGTAAATGGTAATGTATTGACTATCCCTGATGAAGAGACAGTATCAGAATCTAAAAGGTAAAATTACATGTTCCTGTCAATTTAGACTTGTTTTATTATTTCTGGATTTTATCACTGGGATTCTTTTTATATAAAATAATCCAAAAGGTCAATTAACAACTTTAATAAATTTTATAGAAAAATATGGCTTTTGGAGAATAGAAACAATAAACTTATAATAGGACATACTGAAGAAACAAAATAGGTATTTTATTAAGAGAGAAACATATCTCATAGATAACCAACCATCTTTTTAAGCTGACGATAAGCAGTATGCACAAGGATTGCAGCCGCATATTTTACTTTGTATACTCATGATCTGACATAAGCATTGCTGTAATATCCACAGAGTCCCCCACATACAACTAGTGATTGTTTCAGTTGATCCTTTAAACAGTGGAGAAAAAAATGCTTTATGAAAAATGAGAATAAGAGTAGATTATCACGTAGACAACGAAAATAGAAAAGATAGTGAAACTACTTAAATATGGAATGGGAATTGAACTGTTTTACTATGTTCTCACATAAGCAGGCAACTACAATTTATTAAATTAAAGCACAGAAATCACAATGCTTTGATGACAAAGTGAATAAACAGCGACGAGCAAGAGAAATGCTAGATGGCTGCCTTAATTTAGATCAGATACGAACTACTATTACATCATTACATGAGCTGTGGTTTAAATAGATCCCCTCCTTTCAGAGTAAAGACTTACTGTGTTTTATCAGTCTTGCCTTGGTGGCACCTTATTTACCTAGATTACATGCAGAAGACTAAACACAATTCTTAAAACAGATAGGGAAAGACCACATCTGTAGATCCATCCCCTGTAACATTTACTTACTGTTAAATATGAACTTTGCTTTCTCTACAAGTCCATACAATAATTTATTATTACAAGATAAGGGAAGTATCATTTGAATGGCTGCATTTTTCAAAAGCAGTCAGCACCACATTTATGAAGAAACTTTTGAGAGTTTCAGGAAAAAAAATGGCTTTGAGTTGGAGATTAAATATTGATTTTATCATTTGGCCAGTCATTTAAAATAAACAATCTCATAAATCAGGCTTAAATCTTGTGCTTCCTCGTGTCTCTTTAATTTTTTAGGTCAGGTCAGATAGCTCTTTTCTCACTAACCTGTTATAATATGCTGAAGAAGACCTTTTGATCAACCACTTAACAAAAATAAAAGTGACACGCAAGTGACATACTCAATGAATAAAGGTTAAACGTAACATCATCATTTATTATACACATTAAAAAAAAATTATATCAGTCAATGTAAAGGAAACCAAGAAAAAAAAAAGAGCAAGAAAAACAGAAAACCTGATTCCTGTCTTTAATTAAGTTATAATAAGTTTAAGACCTTAAATGTAACCCTTTTCTGAGAAATGCTACATAAAGAAATCTAACCTGAGCACTTAGAAAGCTGTGCATTCTGCATACCTCCCCAGCACCCCTTAACTCCCTTTTCCTGCTCCATTTTCCTCTAAAGCACTTGTGACTGTCTCTTCCCCCTCCCCTCAGCCTAGATTGTAAGCTCCCAGCAGGCAGGACCTCTTGTCAGTTTTGTTCACTACTGTGTATCCAGTGCCTGGAACAGTGCTTGCCACTTAATAGCTACTCAGCAAATATTTACTGAATAAGAGACCATTCTTATTTTGGTTTCCTAGATTTGTTTCCTCTCTAAGTGTGAATACATTTTTCCATCAAGCTTTCTCTTATGCACACAGCAGCCTCGGTTCCAATGTGATTCCAATTAGGAGTGACACCAGCTGATTTTCTCTGAGCTTCAGCAGAATGGGGATAAAGAACTACCTATGGGTTGTTGTGAGAAAATACACGACAAAATTCGCATGGAGTACTTAGCACAATGCTCGGCACATAATAAGTGTTCAGTACATTTTAGCTGTTATCTTTCCTGCCGTGACAACTATTAAATTCTTTTCTTCTGTTACAAACAGATCACCAATTCTTAAAAGTACCTCAAAATTAATGAAACTAAGGACATTTAGAATGAGGGCTAAATTTACATGTGGACGAATCTCCTGAAAACAAAAACAAAAACAAAAAAACCTACTTCCTGGGTGGGTTTGCTTTCAAGAAGCATTAATCCTCTTCTTGTGCCCCCACAGGACTGTCTATACCTCTTTAGGTATCACCACACTGTATTTCCATTAGCTGATTATGTTCAGTCTTCCCTGCTACATTGTGTGGTCTTTTAGGGTATGAAATCTTTGTATCCTATCACAAAGCAGGCACTCTATAGATGTTTGTTTGCCCAATAGATGAGTTACTGTACAGAGATTCCATTTGTAGTCATATCACACATGCACCTTCATTACAAAATTACATTTTGCAATAGATGGTGTAGATCCAGAAAGCAGGGTAGAGGTCTTAGTGTTGGAGAGTGATGCAGAGTGGAGTGTGTATAAGAATAAAAGTAATGGAATGGAATGCAGTGATGTGCTGCGAATAAAAAGTGCTTAGAAGACCGGTACAAAACCCATTCTTATTTTCTCATAAATGGTTGCTCTATTTCAATAGTAATGATCTAATTTATATCCATCTTACTTTATGGAAGTGTGACTACCCAGGGAAAAATTCTAATAAAAACATACTTGATAAAGTTGAAAAGCTCAGTTATTAGAAATGAGGATTGTGGAATAAGAAAAAGGCACACAGCTCGGGGTCTGACTATGTAAGAATCAAAAAATACTTATGAGGTTAGGAAGTCCTTAGATATTTAACACCACAGCAAACAAACTTTCAAGGAACTAATTTTAAAAGTCTTCCAAATGCAAAGTATTTAGAAATACTGAAAGCTGTATTAGGATGATAAAAATATATGATGCTTTATGCAGGATAGAAAATAGAAATTTATACCTCTGGAAAAAGAGAGAAGCTTGAGATTGGCCGTTTTTATTGTTAAATTAGCCATTTAGTTGGTATTCAGAATAAAGGACCAGAGATAAAACCCAATATCAAGAACTTCTAGTCCAGAATTATAAGCTGGGAGTCTGTCCCCTTGGGTAATGCTTCTCATCAGGAAAGTACTTACATTAGGTCTCAGCCTGGCTGCCAGGTCATAATACTTCTCAGCTGCTTCATTGAGACTCGCCTGTCTGTTAAAGAAAAAAAAAAAAAAATCAAACTATACCATTTATTTTAAAATTGCAGATACGTGAATAGAATCATCATGCATTGAAGTAACATTAACTTTTTCAAAATTATAGTCACACCAATCAAATAATCAGTTTCCTAAGCAGGGAAAGACCATTAAAAAAAAAAAAAAAAAAATGAATGCACGTAATGCACTTGTCATTGTCTCTAAGGCATTACAAATGGTATCTCAACACAATCTTATTCAGTCAATATTATTAAGTTTACATATTAGGAATTAGAAAGGTTATTGTCCCTTTCCAAGCTAGCCCAGATAACATGTTAACAGATCTGGGATTCTCTTTCTCTAGCTTCAACATGATGCCTCAGAAAAATCTTAATTTAAAAAAATAAATTGTTGAAATTAACCATGAGTTGCTTGTTTTATAAGAATAGCAAATATTTGCAGGGTTTTTTGATTGTTTGTTTGTTTTGTTTTTAATTCTGTATCTATCTAGAAAGCCATTTTCTTTCTAATTCAGGAAGAGAACCTTCCATTGTTTGTAGTCTACATGCAAAAAAGAAAAAGCCAGCTTCTCCCTCTCTGTAATCTTAGGCCACCAGGGTGGGCATATGACATACCCTCAGCTAACTGGAGGTTCTTGCTTGGAAGACTTTCATTTCGGAGTGACTGAAATAAACATGAAGGGATGGCTCGAGTTCACTGACAATGGTGGAAGCGATGGGGCTGTGTTCTGGCTGGACTCTTCCTGTAAAGAACTGCTATCGGATATACTACTTCTTGATCTCTGGGGCTGCCTTGTTTCCTGCTAACTCACACTGTGTCTTTCAGCACATGGTAAATTCTGTAAGTCACACAGCCTTCACATTGCTAGAGTCAGTCTCTCTTGATTACCAACAAATACCAGGAGTGGCACAGCTGACTTCTACAGGTAAGATGCACACTGCATTTTATACATGTTTATATATCGCCTATTCTCACAATTCATAGCCAAGCTAACTGGTTAACAGAATAAATAAAATGTCAGTGTCCTGAGGAAGCCCAGCCCATTAGCCATCAAAACAGTATGTTTTTTGATCATGTCATGCTACTTCAGAAAACCTTCAAAGATGGTAGATTGTGAGAGCTAGAAGCCCTTGCAGATTGTACTGTAATCTGGTGACCATATTGGAGGGACACAAAAGAAGTGTTCTAGAAAAATATCAATTCAACTTCAGATGATCAACTCCGACTGTAATGTGAACACAGTAGTGAATGGATTCGGGTCCTGCCGCTGAAATGAAGTAGTGTTCTCTTAAAACTGTGACATTAAGAAGCTTTTAAGATAAGAAGATGGCAGAGTCAGGAATAAAGAGGAGAAACAAAAATTAACTTTCTCAATTGCAAAACCACATTCAGGTTTTAAAAGAGAAGGCTAACTAGTCATACCTATAAAATTGAATTTGCACTTTGGTCAAGCCAAATAAAAACTATAAAGACATACCCCATGCAACCATATAAATTATAGGAATAACTGAAGATAACATCTCTCTGGAGAGAAGGACATATTTTTCTAATTTTTAAAGGAAAAATAATTAGAAACACTGCTATTTTTAATGGGGTTATAGAGAAAGTAAAAACCCTTGACCTAAGGCTCTACTGGACTCATGACATGTTACAACGTGCCATTGCAATTTATAGTCTCATAAATGTTGAAGTTCAATTTCAATATGTCAAGAAAAGTACTTTAGTCTGTATGAAAGACTAAAATTTCCCTCACTAGGGTATTTAATGAAGGTTCCCTCCACCAAATTATAGAATCACTTTGGTTCAGATTCATTTGGAAATTTGAACCAGAATTCATTAGGTCATGCCCTGGAAGGGTTTTCTCCTGGGGAAAATAAAAGGCATGGAGGTAGGAAATTAGAGTAACTTAATACTACAAAGAAGTAATTTACTTTGAAGAAAAATCAACCCATATATGTTTAACAGAGAAGGCACAGCTACCAATTATATTCATCTTTATGAACATTCAAATTCATGAGGTAGATAAGGATCAAAAGAGAAACCGAGGAACTCACTAGATGCAATGCCTTTAAAATAATAATCAACACAAGTGAAAAAGGTTTCCCTCCCCCAAAATGTGGTTATTAGTTTTCTAAAGTCTTTATTGCCTTTAGTGGTTGAATTCCCGAAGGATGTATCTAGTTTAGAAAACTTAGTTTGTTAAGCTAGAAGTAGAATGGATAATACTCCAATGAAGTAGGAAAAAAAAAGTAGAATTCATTAAATTTGTTATATAACTGTGAAAATTAATTTTCACTCTAGGACTTTGCTTCTAATATTAAATAGTCTTCACTGACTACTAATTGGCAGGCTTGGTGACAACACATGGCAAACCATAAAGAAAGAGTATGTGCACTCTGTAAACATACATTGGTATCCTTGGATCATTCTCTGGACAAGAGAGAGGACTCAGGAGGATCTATCCAACGTCTGCTTTAGAGTGTGTGTTGCATTTCACACTCCACTCTGCAACAAGTATCCTAGAAGTGCTGAAATCTTCACTGCAAAGATGACAGAATCATTAACCAACATTTGAAAACTGAGGCAATTGGCAATATTCTGCCAGTTACTTAGAAAAATCTAAGGATTCCTAATTGTCAAGAACCTCAACCACTGATTGTTAAGAGCACTATTGCAGGACTCAAGTTTCCAGGATGACAGGCATCAAAGTATTTCAAGAAGGTGATAAAATATATGTTTCCTAAATAGCAATATAATTTCTTCCTTTAATATTTCTTTTCTGGAACGGAAAATTTATAAATTTGCTATTTATGAATCATTTCAATTACAGATGATTAAAATGAGGATTAGAGAAATTGGTATCTTTCCTACGGTTCTACAGCTGTAAGTGTCTGAGCTCGACAGGAGTCAAGGCCTCCACACTAAACGTCTGACCCACAAGAATATGCTGGTGTCTTTACAGACATCATGATGCAGCCCAGTGATATGTGGCACATGGTTCCATGGCAGATGACCACAACAAGTCCTACATCAAACAACACAAAAGGAAGAAAACATGCTTTTTGATTATTATGTTAAAACGTTATGACCTAAGTGTAAGAGATGAGATTTGAAAAGGGGAGGATAGGGAGACCATTTGCAATCCCAGGTTTTACTTCCTGCCCAACTCCATCTCCCAGATGGAGAGAAGTGAACCTCACCAGACCAAATTGAGCAGAGCCTAATTTTAAGAACAGAGTGCCCCATAGACCTCACCATCTCCCCAAAACAGAGAAGGGTAAGAACTCAGGGGAAAGGCAAAGAAGTAGGGAAGGAAGAACTATGAGAACAGTGTTGACCACTCACTTTCTTACTACCACAATCTCCCTTTTGCGGGGGGAGGAGGGTCGCATTTAGGTATGGGGGTTTGTACATGTTTCTGACGTGTCCCAGTAGAAGACTCAGAAGGTGGGTAAAGGGGAAAGCAGTTAGTTCTGCCGAGAGACCTCCTCGCCAGATGCAGACAATCTTGTATTTTAGCCACAGTGCAATTCACGAGCCAAGGATACACTTATAAGAAAAATCACTTGTAACCAGGAAGCTATACTGGGTCCAGATGAGTGACCCCTTTCCCCATCTAACATGCCACTCTGAGAGTCAATGTTAAGTTATGCCCATATCTAGAGAACAATGGAGGCTGCTTTCTTTTTATTTTTAAATATGTTTTTATTGATTTTTTTAGAGAGAAAGAGGGAGATAGAAACATTGACATGAGAGACATAGATCAATTGGCTGTCTCCTTCACACCCCTCACTGGGGATCAAGCCTGAAACCTGGGCATGTGCCCTGACCAGGAATGGAACTGGGACCTCTCAGTCCATGGGAGGATGCTCAATCCACTGAGCCACACCAGCTGGGCAAGGCTTCTTTCTTATTACAAACACCTGTACATCATATAGACCTATAGGGCCTCCCTGTTTTCATACTATCAGTGGCCGCTCAGGGCCAGGAGAGGTAAGGAAGACAAAAAGCCCTAGGTAGTATTTGTAAATTGGACTATGAAGTAAATAGTAAACCTTGAATTCTCCTCAAAAATCACTGGATTAAGCCAATTGTATTTGACAAGTCTTTAGATCCTGTTTTGCTGCCGTCAGTGAAAAGGTAGGCTCAGAGTGAAAACAAATAGTAACAAAAGTCACAAACAGATATTATTTTTGATTATTACAACACCACTTATGCACATGGGACTATGAAACTTACATCTGTTAAAAAATATAGAAATATAGTTCATATATCTAATTCCCCTCTCTGGTGTTATTTCATAATAGAAAAGTTTGGTGTTTTTTTTTTTTTAACATAGGTTTATGGCCCAATATTCTTACAAGAAAAAATTAAAAAAAGAAATTTTGGAACGAATTATGTTATGAAATAGCAACTTAATATACCCCGTGAAATGTTTTAGGAAAATCTGATTAAAAGACTCATTTTACCATTACCTACATTTTTATGTATTCCATGAGAATTATAAAATTAAAGCTTGCTAAATTTAAAATTACTTCCTTGAAATATAAAAAGTAAAAACTCTAGTAGCATTTAGAAGACTCTCTTTAACCAAAGTTATTAATAGTTGTGCATTATCAATTTTGAGTTAAAAACTATTTAATATAGATAATAACCACTGTATGACTTATACAAAAGACAATATTTTATTAAGGTCTTTGTGATTATTTTCAAGGATAAATTGTGAGCATTTTTTTTTTAAACTGGAGAGAAGTTTGTCCCTATATCATGGAAGTAGAATAAAACAGTAGCTGAGTTTTCCTGGGTTCTTGCCAACGGCTAAACTGACACTTAGCTTTAAGTTATTCAAAGCAGCACTAAATTCTAATTCTAGTTGATAACTTCTCCAGTAGAACTAGAAGTAGTACTGAAATGAATGAGGACATAAAAATGTACGGAAAATCTTGAAAGAGCAAAACCAGAGTTATACATATATACAAACAAGACCAAGAAAGA